AAGAGAAATATGTCTGCAAATTCTGCGGCAAGAAATTCAACTCAGGGAGGTTGTGGAAAAATCATGAAAGAATTCACACTGAAGAAACGCTCAGTTCGAAATGTCACAAATCCTTTCGGTAATTTGCTTTATAACGCATTAGATGTAATTATACAAATTTGCTTTACACTTTTACGATTTCAATATCGTGTGCTCTTCCTATCTTTTACTTTAATTCTATTAATCTCTTTTAGGTCTGATCGATCGATATTGCATTATATACAAAATGAACACAAAAAGAAGGAGTACAAGTGTGATCAGTGTGGAAAATGTTACAGGTAAAAATGCTCCAGTATAAATTATCAGTAACTTTAACATAACATCGTAATAACATCGTAATAACATTGTAATAATACAATATATATATATTTTTTTTATTTTTATCTTTTCGTTTATTTCTATTGAATCTCTTTTAGTTCGTACAACTCGAGATGGTATCACGTACATCGTGAACATAAAAAGAAGGAATATATGTGTGATCAGTGCGGAAAATGTTTCAGGTAAAAATGCTTCAGTATAAATTAACAGTAACATAATATTTAACATAATACCATAATAACATCGTTATATTATAATATAGTATATATTTTTTATTTTTATCTTTTCGTTTATTTCTATTGAATCTCTTTTAGTTCGTACCTATCGAGATGCAAACATGTACAACGTGAACATAAAAAGAAGGAGTATATGTGTGATCAGTGCGGAAAATGTTACAGGTAAAAAAGCTTTAGTACAAATTAACAGTAACTTTAACATAATATTGTAATAAAATCGTAATAATACAATATATATATTTTTTTTTTTATTTTTATCTTTTTGTTTATTTCTATTGAATCTCTTTTAGTTCGTACAGTTCGAGATGGGATCATGTACAACGTGAACATAAAAAGAAGAAGTGTATGTGTGATCAGTGCGGAAAATGTTTCAAGTAAAAATGCTTCAGTATAAATTAACAGTAACATAATATTTAACATAATATCGTAATAACATCGTAATATTATAATATGTATATTTTTTCATTTTTATCTTTTCGTTTATTTCTATT